AGAAATCAAGACATCACAAAAAGCACTAAACCTGTCAAGTGCTCTGGCATGTGACAAAGAGGTGGCGCCGCGTCGTAAGGACGTTCAGCGGCAGCGGAGGGTGGCACATGGCAGGAACGACGCAATCGGGAGCTCGAATGACCCACTTACCAAACTTTCGAGTGCGACACTTGTCCTGAGCCCATCAGTCCTGCTTCATCCAAAGGCGCCGTCAAAACGCTCGATCACGAAGACCCACGCGGCGACGGCTGCAACCCTCGCCGACACATGTCACACCACAAAAACAAACGCATGCGGTCGTCCCACGACGCCCGTCGCTCGCGGCGAAAACAGCGCACCGAGCCCCGATCTCCTAGTCCGGACACGTCCGCGGACAAGTATTCCCAGCGGGGACGGGCCCGATACCGCACACGCGCGTCGCTTCATTCATAATAAGACGGCAATTAGCACTGGCGCTGGCCGGCGGGTGGGGCGGGCGCTTCTCTAGCCGCCCCGCGAAGAGCGACCGAAGACTTCGAGCGCGCGTGGGGCAGTAAGCGCGTCTCCCGGCCCCGTGGCCCCGTAGTTCGGCGCCGCGCCGCTAGAGCGGGCGCGCGCTCGGCGGGCGCCTCGAAAGACGAAGCGCGACCTACACAACTGCAGGCTGGCAGACGGAACGCGAGCGCTAATGATTCACATCTCCTAGTGAAAGGCACTTAATTATATTTATAACTGACGTGTTCTCTTTTTTTAAGTTTTGTATTCGGTTTATTGTCCCTTTATAATAAATTAAATAAATCTTAAAAAATAATAATTGTTTCAAAGGCAAAATTTCAACACAATTTGAAGTTGTTCTTCTAGCGACTAGCAAATTGTATGTTTTATCATCGCTTTCTAAAAAAAAACAAATTAAAGAACAGTTTAGCAAGTATTTAAGAGTTTCAGAAACAATGCATGTAAAACAGTGGCACACCCAAGATTTTTCTCCGAGGAGAGTGTCCAATCGACTAGACGTTTTCTTATAAATAACTTTTCATTTATGCTTATAATATTTTTTTATATCTTTATTTATTGTTATTTATAAGTATTTAATTGAGATATCGCACAACTTTCATTACAACAGTAGTAGAAAATTAGTAAAAACTATATGTTAATGTTTTTTATCAGCTTCTTCCCCTTCCCTTACTACATTCACAAATTGTCATAGATGATTCCTCCATAGACCTTCTACGTGATGTAATTGGCGATTTTCACATTTTGGTATCAATGATTCAGAATGTGCTTGTTCTTTAGTTTGATAAGAAATAGATTTCCAGATAAAACTAGAAATTGTGGTCTTAAAATAGAAAGAAAAAAAAATCTTGTTTGATCTTCACAATTTATGGATGATAGAATATCTCATATGCAGTAAGAGCCACATAGAATGTTTTTATAAGGTGCTTTCAGAAAAATATTACAATCAATAAATTTTTAATATGATTATTTAGAAAGTGTAGAATGCCTAAACTTGGCCAACTGTACATTATTAACTTCCTTCTGAAAAATTTTGTTTTGTTCACGTAGTATGTTGTGTATCATTAACAATGAAGTGCTGTTATATCAAATTCTGTAATAAGTACAGTGTATTTTCTGTTCTTGGAAGTTTCTTTCCCTTTACTTCACTTCATTATTAGCCCTAAGTCAATATCTATCATGAAAAGATATTGAAATTCCAAAATAGAATTAATATATTATTAAGACAGGTTTTAAATATTATAGGAGATGCCTATATACACTCCACATGACTACTTCAGGATTACTCACAGTGGGAGCACCAAACAGCACAATTCAATTGACTAATCCAGATAATTCAGACAGTTTTCATTATCAGGAAAATTGTGAAAAGTGAATAACATTAAATAACCAATCTTTATGAATTTACTGTAACATTTTTTATTTAAAAACAAGCAATTCATTCTGTTTATATAAGAAAAACATATCTTTTGACTTTCCATTACTTCTTCTACTACATTCTTTGTTTTAAGCCTTTTTCTAATATATTTACATCTTTACTGATCCCTTAATGTGACTTGATATTGTCCCAACTGCTCATTGTCCAAACTTCCAATCCACACATGAGTATTGGTTTTAAAATCCCTTATGTATTCTTAATTTAATCTCGTCAGACACATCTCTTCTGAAACAGCATTAGATCAATCAATTTGTTCTGTTATATTATTGGATTTTGTTTTCTATGTCCTTCGATATGTGTCTAATATTATAGTATAAATAATTAAATTTGAATAGGCCCAACTTGTTTCAATACCTGCCTATCAATTTTGATTCTTCTCATTTCTTTTTCTTGACATGCCATTGATTGTCTTGTGAAAATTTTCATAATATGTTGCACTGTAAGTTTAATACAATATATTTCCAGTAATCTACAGATCAACTTCTGATTCCACTATTATAACTATCATCTGTATAAAAGATTAGTTAAATCTTCTGTTTTTATGGAGATTTATTTCCGTCTTCATTAGTAGTTTCAATTCCTTGATGATATGATGGGCATACATATAGAACAGGCTTGGTGGCAGAAACATCCCTGTCTTAGTCTCTGTTTGTTGTCAAAAAGATTTTGGATTTTAATACATTTTCCATTATTTGTTTTTCATACTCATCAGTGGATTCTGCATAGACTTTGAATTCCTTTTCTTATTTCTTAAGTTCTTAACTTCTTCAGGTAATTTACCTACATTTTCCTCTCTATTTACTCATCCCTGTCTTTTTCAAAGTCTATAAACAATAGATAAGTTTGCAAATTCACTTCATTGCATTTGCCCAGGATTGTTTGTATGTGAATGTTGCTTCTTTTGTGCTCCTTCCTTTTCTGAATCCATGTTGTTTTCCCAGGAATGTCTCACTTCATTCATTCAGTGTGATTCTTATTATGTTAGCAAAGAGTTTTGATGATGTTGATACAAACGTTATTCCTCTATAGTTATTGCTGTGCCATTCCAGTTTGCCATTCCTACAGGATTGAGTTTCCCAATCTTTGTTGAGCAGGTCTAACCCAATGTTCGCGAGTTCTTTGCCCCTGTATTTTATTAGATCCATGGGAATTACATCTACGTCTGGAGTTTTCCTGTTCTTAGCTTATATTAGAACCCTTTCAAGCTCATTTTTTTATATCTATGGCATCATTTCTTATTAAATTTTAGTCCAACCCTTGAGTCTGTCACATAATACACTCTGACTTTTGGACTATATACTTAACTAAAAAGTGGTTTCATTTCGAATTCTCGTTTATTCAGATATAGTTTTTCAACATATCAAGTTGCAATATGTATCAAAAGACATGAATTACTTAATATGTGTACTAAGGTACTATTAACCCACACTTAGAGCATGGAATTGAAATTTGGGAGGTACACGCAATGGAAATATGGACAGAATAATCACTAATCACTACAGAAAAGTGCTAATAGACACTTTTTCAACTTTCAACCCAGACAATCATATAGAAACTACTATATAAAAAATAACATAAAGACTGTAATAGCAGAATTCACAGAATATTACTAATGAAAAAGAACATCAGCATACATTTCACTCAAAATGAAGAAATGTATCACTACAATGAAAGAGGGCACCAAAATACCACAGGTTACATTCATCTAAATACTCAACGAATAAAGACCTATATAGAAAAGATATATTGTTTAATAAACTTCCAAATTATATTAAGCAAATGAAAACAAATTTACAAACCTATTGAAAAATTAACAAAATGAAATTTGACCATATAGTTTAAGTGAATTTTAATGTGTGATATTATTTTACTCAAATATAAATCAAGATGTATTTCATGTATTGCAGTTGAACTATACATTGTAATTAATCAAGATTTTATTTACTGATATTTTCACTGTACATTTACATAATTTCTATTGTATGTTACTTTCATATGTATTATTACTATATAATTTCCTCTATGTTTTGTATATTTTAAAAACATAATTTACCCTACCAAAACATTATTGTAAAAATTACTGAGAGTTTTGGTGTCCAAATGTTGAAAATCTATTTACATTAGCAGCATTTTCATTATTCATCACATTTAGAAAATCTCATGAGTAGTAAAAATTAAAATCGGATGATCTTGCGATAACAAAAGCAAACCTTCTGAACCAAAACTTCAAATTTTAATATAATAAATAAAATTAAGAATGATGAGAAGAGATGAAATGACAGTATTATTGATAGAGTAATAAATTGAAGTCTTTATTAGCTCACAGGAGGCCTATGAAAATCCAATTCCTGAGGAATGACGAAAATTCTCCATGTAATTATTGTGCACAACAGCAGGAAGAAAGACAAATTGGTCATTGCAAACAAATCTCACTTTTTGAAAGATGTATTAATTTTTGAAAATGTACATATACCCTAGAATTTGTAAATTCTTCCAATAGTAAAATTCTATTGCCACTATTTCATAGTGATTGGTATCTTCACTGTTCACTGCAATGATTGGAACCCCAATTTATAGATTGTTTTAGTGATTCCAGGCACGTCAACTATCAGGGTCACTAACCCCATAAGTAATGCATCTTTTTCACTCAGGTGTGTGTGTATGGGGGTGAGGATAGGACAAGGGGAAGGTGAAATCACACACGGTCCATCGCCTCTACTTTAGAATACTGCTCAAGAACCCCAAAATCTAGCGATGTCTGTACACTAAGTTATCTACAAGACAGTGTCGCATCTACCTAACATGTATGAAGGGTTTAGGGCACCATTGTGCTCATTCGGATCTCTGTAATTTCTATCAGCCAGAGGGGGGAAAAAAAATTATTGTACATGCAGGTGGCTCAGTTTGACTACACTGCTTGCAGCTTTCGCTGGACATATTGTAGTTCTATGCACATGATTGTATAACATCAAGATCATATTTTCTTAACTTAATTTTTAAATCATGAAATAAGGTTCAGCACTGTGCTGCCATGATACTTAATATTAGAATGAATCACTCATACAAACAAGGCTGAGGGAACAACTTTATTTTAAGAGACTACTTGTACAGATTCAAGGAGATTGTTGTTTTTTTCTTTTTTCTTTACCATTCAAATGTACACAAGTAGGTTAGACACTTCCACAAACAACTGCACAAGAAACATCTCTTTGACACATACATTAGCATGTGATAACATGAATGACAATTGCAGTCACATCAAGGAAACATCGTTGAAGGTAATAGTGACATGTACAAAGACATCAACAATTTTTTAATTCCTGATTGGTACCCAAATTGTGCTTACAGCAAATGAGCAAATCTATAGTATATCACAAAATAACCTGCAACAAATGTGTCTCAGGAAACTTTATTATATTATAGCACACCTAGTGACAAACTTCAAAAGAAGAGTGATGTACTAACGAACATAATAAAAATAAAACACATACATTACAATTATAAGTCACATGGGCATGACCATCTACACAAAACATCGAAGAACCCTGTTGAGCCACTGAAGACTAATGTCTTTTTACTAAATGCATTTTCTTCTAAGTAATTTACAATTAACATAGAAATATTTCTGTAAAGACCATTAAAAATACAGAAGACACAGGCAACACAGACAAACTGGCAAAAACATACATCGTCCTTATCATGCAGAACTTTTTTTTTTTACGTCAATATAACCAACTTGAACAAAAATATACACAAGATTTTTACCAGAATAAATCTCAAAAATGTGTGAGCTAAACAAGAAACAGATTTAAGACGTATATGCATTCTAAAGCAACAAAAATCCATAGAGAGGCAAAAAAAAGTACTTCGGGTAAGATAGATGAGAAAGCATCTGCCCACAATCCAATTTACCAATAATCAATATGGACATTTTCCCATTTTATTTAAAAGCACATTTTTTCAAGGAACTCTAAAATACAGTTAAGTAGACTAAAAACACAGAGTCTCACTTGAAATATGGTTTCAATCTTTACAAAAGAACAGAAGAATCTGTTGTATTATATCCAGACAACCATAAAAAAATACAGCATTAAATATCTCTTCAAAAATAAGTATAAAGTTTGTTCTGAGCAAAGACCTAATAGAAACCTACCATTCTTCCCTTGCCAAAGAAACTAAGTATTGGTCTCATATTCTCAGTCCCTTTAATCTACATGTCTTCCTTGAAAACTAGTTCTATTTGTTCCAATGTCTACATAGCTACATGTGAGAAAACATTCCATTCTGAATTGTACAGTTTATTTTATTTTGATCACAACTTGTGCAGTGGAAAAAAAAAATGTTGCACCAAAATATCAACACATTTGATCCCAAAGGTTCAATTCAAAATACAAATATCAAGTAGCTATAAAAGCCCAGAAGATTTTAAGACATTACCAAATACTCGAGACCAGAAAAGAAACTTATTTGCTGTAAATTCTGAAGTATTAAAACAATATTCAATTTTCAGAGACAAATTAGCTGTTCACTTGTGCCAAAACTATGTGTGCACTCATTGAAAGTGGCAGTGATGGAAAAAGTATGACAACTACTGTTACAAGGACTACTACTTGACGGTAATAAACAAATCAGAATACTTTTCTCCACAAATCACTAATTTTTCAGTAAGTACTATTTTTAGGAAAACAAATAAAAGTTAGAATAATAAAATATACTTTCTGAGGAGAATTAAAATGTATCTATACTCAGTTTAGGTCACTATCATCTACACTTTCATGTCTTATTGATCTCCAAGAGCAAATGCTTGTCATGGGAGGATGTACACCAAACACTTAGGATCCCATCGTTGTAATGAGTCAAAGAACACTTGTATATCACGGTACAGTATATGGTGAAGAAAACGGAAATCTATCTATGACAGAACAAACACTGTACATATATATATCTCAGAACCGTAACCAAGAACTGGTCCTAGGAGCATAACATGTTTGTCCAAGCAAACATTTCAGGATTTGCACATTACTTTATTGCACTGTAATATATTTAGAAGGTATTAAGAAATCCGCAAACAATGAAGTTGTCTGAAGAAACAAACCATTTTTCAGACGTAACAGTAAAAATCTTTAGGAACAAGGATATAATTGCAAAGAAAACATCTTTAAAGTTTAAAAATACTTTTTTGAAATTTTCAGGAATAATCAGGATTAAGACCCCTTGATTCCCACTACATAAAAATACCCTTAAAAAAAAGCAAATAAGAAAAAAAAATCCAATTACTATACTTGCACAAATACATACTAAAGATGCTAATTATTGATACATCAGGAAGGAGAATTTGTTTTCATAGATCTGTCAACATATCTGTCACACAGCTGTAAACAAATGCAAATAAATATGTATGGTCTCAAATTAGCTCACACAAAGAGGAAGTTGCAAAAGCTATCTTGTCTATCTCAGAAATATTTAAAACCCCTTTCAATTTTGAATCAATAAAATGTTAATGCATACTTACTGTTACATAGCATAAATCAATTTAAAAACTATGGCAATGAACTATACTTCAAGTTAAGATTTTACTAGTTTTAAAAAGAGAAAGCAATATGGTAATTTTTTTGATGAGTTACTATTTAATCCAAATTCGTAATTACCCAAGAAACAAAATAAAATATTCATGTTATGCTCCAATATCTAATCCTTCAAAACAACAACAAGACAGTACACAAAACTATATATGTACATATAGCAACATCAAGTATTTTAACATATTTTTAACATTCTTTTTAATAAATATACTATGAAATAACTTGTAAATTCTACATTGCAATGGAACAGACCACAGACTTGAAATTGGTAATTGAGATTAGCCCTTAAGACAGGCATGTGACTAGTAAAACTATACAGTGGACCCACTGACATATTCTTTGACATTAATTTTATAGACATAATAGAACATTGAGAAAAAATTTAACAGAATGTATAGACAACTCTATCATGCAAAATGCAATTAATGTAATTTTCCACAGACACAATCAAAGCCATTTTATTTTTGTAAAATGATACTGTGAGTGAATAAACATTAATTTCCTATGCTTTACATGAAACATTGTTTTTAGGGTTACCAGTGTACATAAACAGACTTCAATTTCCTCCATTGCATTTTTCATTTGAAATACATTACCCATTTGCCACAGACTGACACATTTTAATGCAAACAAACATGTGTGCTATAGCACACAAACTTCTCAAGAACATTCCAGCATCTACACCCACATTTTCTTTACTCTCAGACTGCTAATGGAATTAATTTCACCACCTACGGATTATTGCCAGGGCCACCTAGTGGGTGCACCTATATCATATGTATAAAATAAATTAATACACAAGAAAGTTTTGGACAGGAATTTAAAAGAACTATTTCTGATTTTACATAACAGGAAAAGAATTGTTGACCTAAGTTATGCAAACTACTAATGCCACAAAAATTCAATACTGGGACGCTCATTCAATAAGATACTATTTTCTTCAATTTTGCCTCTACAACACAGAAAACTGCAAGTTCTCTTGTATTTTGGAAACAAGCCAGCCAATACAAGAAACCAAATATTAATATTTGTTACACACTTCCACGTTATCTGCAAAGTGCTTACAATACCTGGTCATTCAGTGTAGCAAAAAATCAGATTCTTTCAAAATCCTGCCACAACTTTCTCATGATTTCTACTTCGAGAGCTGTACTCATACAACTTCCCTACAGTGCTGGGTACATGCCACCCTTCAGCCCTCCAACTATTACCAGAACCATGAAGACTTGGGCGTCTTGGGTGTGGTGGGGGTAGTAGGAGTGCCACTGGTGGGAGAAGTGGACATGGAGACTGGGGCGCATACACCGCTGCTAGGAGTACTGGGCAATCCCAGTTCAGTCTCCGTCTCCAAAGTTGCTTCCAAGCTGCTGGATCGTGAACTTTCATCTACCTTTGCGGCCTGTGTCATCTTCTCATTTGTTTCTTGCTGCATCTTGCTCTCGTAGTTTCTGACATCCTCTAGATTCATGCCTAGCCATTCATCAATCCATGCAAAAGCTTGGCGGTGACCCAAAAGAAGAATTTCACGTATGCTCTGAAAAAGCATAATGTTTATGTCATGAACACAAAACAGGAAAACACACAAAGAGTCAATTTTCTTATACGAGATAAGCTTTTTATCTAAAAAGGAAATCCAGTGACTCAAACTTTTACTATTTTCAGAACATACTAGCCAAGGGGAGGGGGGGGTACAGCCGATCATTTGGGGTGGATCGTAGATTTTTGTTAAATAATAAACATACTTATTACATTTTATGTTATTTATGTTACACAGATATGAAACTACACAATATTATTGTTTAAATAATTACTTAATACAAACATAGATACATTTTTAAATCAATTTGGCAGATAACAGAAAGTAAACAAAAACTATGCCATGGGAGGGGGGTGTCATGCCTCACTAATATCACTGACAGTTCCGGGGGGGGGGGGCTTGGAACTGTCAGTGATACTAGTGAATATTTTTAATCTATTACTCTTCCAATGGAAATGAAAATGATGGGGTAAGGCAAAAAGCAGTTTGCTGGTCCTGTGAGTACAGAATTAAAGTTCAAGAAATTAGTCTAATTTCTTTGTTTCCTGAGCAATGAGTGTCATGTTTAAAAAGGTACATAACATGGTGTCACATTCTCATGCCTCTATTGGAGTCTCCACTACCTCCAAACTCCGCTACCTACTCTCCAAAACCGCAGAGGAAGAAAGAAACACCTAGGTATTTCCTTATCTTTAACCACCTGATGAGGGTGTATACAAATATGAAATTAATCTACCCATTTGTGTTGCAGAATACAGCAGAAAGAGTTTCTGTCAATATATTTTATCTTCCAAAATCTCAGACATTTGTATTATTGATATGAGGAACTCCTTCAAAAAGTTGAAATTTTTATTTATTCAAACATTTTAATTTTCCCTTTAATTTCAATATATATGCAAAACTCTAGAAAAAAACTGTCATTTCACACAAAATATTATTTATGATCAAAATGTATAGCAAAATCAGAAAGGCATTTCTAACTCCTGCAAAAAGATTCTAAAGATCATGAAATTATTGTTATTTTCAGATACAGCCAAAAACCCAGTCTATATAACCATTTCAAATGTGCCTCAAATAGAAGTTTTCAGTGTGTACAAACTTTCTACAGTACATTGGTGCTGCAGGTTGTAGATCAATCTCAAGAACAAACTTGGGCAAGTTTTAAAAAGTACTTTTCTACTATGAGAAAATAAAAATACAATTTCTGGCAGAACCATGCTACTAATCATCTCTAAACATTAATATCTGTTCTTGAGTCTATAAAATACACAAGGTTTTTCACAAATCAGAAACACACCCGTTGTAGTAGATCTTCAGCTCTTGTCTGGAGACCCCACACTTCAAATGAAACTTGAACCAACTTGTAGGAACACATAATTGGAGTAGAATGATCCCTCCATCCTTCTACCAGAGGCCCACGTCCTGTCTTCTGAGATTGAAAGAACCTCACATCCTACAAATCATATTTGAGATAAAGAATATAAAAAAAATAAAAATTAAAAAAGAGAAGCTTCCAAATATTGTTATTTTTATAACTTATTTCTATCATACTTACTTCCTCTTCTTTGTAATGTTTAGGGCTAACTTCATCATATGCAATATCGATATACTCAACAGTACGATCATTAAGTTCTTCAGGTGTCAAATCAAGACACTGAAAGAATGTGATAGTGTAATAATATTACAAGTTATATAATTAAATTACATAAGTATAATCAAAAACAAATACATACATTGTCAGTACTTCCATTGTTATTCTCATATTTCGTTTTAATGTATATATTGAACTTTGGCACGAAGGAACACTGAAACAGCAGTGAAAATTCATTCAGTAAACAAAAATACTAGAAACAAGGTAACCTTCAGCAACCATTAGCACTTCACAGATCAGGGGACCAACATTCTAACATCAAAACAACCTTGATGAACCACCTACTAATGTAATTGGACATCTGAATTAATATAAACTCAAAGGAAAAAGGGGAAAAAATAAATAAATAATACTAGCATAAACTTACTGTGTATTCTGGTCCAAAGGAGAAATCCAACAAACGCACATGAAACATAAAAATTCCATTTAGTAAAATTGTCAAAAATGAATTGTCAGATACTACTTAGCTGAGTAACAATTTTCTCAAGAGTTATTTTAGTATTTATTTGGTACAAACCTGTAATAGTAAATGGGTAGTAATTCCAAGCCTTTTCTGTCACATAAAAAACTTTTGGAATAATGGCTTGAATCCAATACGGCAAACGACTAGACAAAAAAAGAAAATTTAATTAAAAATAATGCACCTTTCTCTGACTGGTTAATTCTCAAAGCAAGCTGCACATTTTACCTAGACAAATGTATTCTTTTCTCTGTGTACTGGCCTTTGCCATGCTCTGGATCTTCACATTCCACATTCTCTACGACTTCAACCCCTTCCCCAGAATCTGTCTGTTCATTACTATGCCTTGCAATCATATACAACTGACCTATCTTATACTGAAACATAAATTACAAAAATAACACTCACTTCAAACCTACGGCTACAAACACATTCACGCCATTTGCACACCTGTACTGAACGTCAAAAACAATTGCATTCATACCTCTTCCACAGACAGTGGCATACAAATCCGATACTCTTTCAACAACACCATCTTATCAGTATCTTGGATTCACCAAAGTTCCACAACAAATATCACCGCACGCCGAAATCAATACGTGATTCACATACTTGAACGGACGACTACGTCCCACTTGAAGACTAGGGAGGAAACAATTTTAGCTTGTTACACTGTAACAATGTGACAACAAAAGCAGATAACGTCAGGTAATTGAGTAGATAAGAAGAATCATGAAAACGAGAAGATAACCAAACGCACTACTGCCTTCACATGTTATCACATCCACCTGCATCAACTCGTCTACAGCAGTCTACAGCTCACGCCTAAAGCGCATCCGCAGCACTTCTGTAGATCCACAGAATGTTTACAAATTTACGATTCACTCTTCTGACTTACCAACGTTGTAACAATTGCATTGTGAAACAATAGTCCATTGTCCTTCACTTAGCATTGTTCACTTGTGTGTCGTTGACAATGCACTCGGGTTTTAAAACTATATTACCGTATCAACTTTTTTTTAAAGAAAATATGGGGGTAAATTAAAAAAGTTTTCACAAGTTAAGTTTGCAAGCCTTGAAATTTAGTGAAGGTCGTGACGTAATCCCGCGGAGAAAACAGTTTATGAATATGAGTAGACGTGACTCGAATTAAGAAAAGAGTCATCTCATTTTGTGTTATTTTTTTATTCTTTAGGATTTTTAAACAGTAGTAAATTGTGAACGAGTTTGAAGTATATAGTAATATTTTGTAATGTAACGAAATTTGGGATAACATTTTGAGATCGCGAATCCTCCTGTATTTTTTCAACATCTCAAAGGTGTTCGACATGCCCACACAATATTTTGATGAGATTTTCAAAAAGTTCAAAACCTGATATCTAGAGGTCGTACCAACCAACCTGATGGCATTCTTCGAACATTACGCCAACAAATATGTATTAATAAACATTTTAGATATAAAATTCTTGCTGAGAAAAGTTTGTTTTATACTTAATTGTGTACATTAAGTTCCTGTAGTTAAAGGAAATCCACTAAAAAAACAATAGTATTTTATATTTTCTATTTATACATATGAAATCACAAGCAACAAGATCTTTGCTACAGAATTTTTATTGGCCAGGGAGCCACCGAGAACAATTACTGGCCACAATATTAATTAAAATAAAAATATCAGATTTAACACTACGGTTGGAAAAACAATTTGTCTCCGACCAAGAGAGCGAAACACAAATAAAAAAGTGAAAATAATTTATTTGTATTACGTTTCGATGAAAAACAATTTAGAAAAGTTTTATTTTTTAACATTCCGTTCAAAACCTCAAATTTCGCTTTCTTGCCTTACGTAGTAAACGTAGTTAAGAGAAGCCTTGCGTACGTACTAACGATTTTCTGATCGATCTGAACGAACTCGAAAGTCGACATCCTACGAGTATAAAACTGCTGGGTTTTTTTTTGGGGGGGGGGGTTCTTTACATAAAGCCTAAACATTTTCAAAATGTTTCCAATGTTCTAACAATGGTCAAAATTGTTGTATTATCGTTTTTCCTTAGATAGCTTAGAAAACGCATAAAATTGCCCAGGCATCGTTTACAATAATATCTCTGAATTTTTGAAAATTTCTAAAGTTCAAAAATTTTCGGCGTCTTACTTCAACTACAATATTGAAGTCAGAATATTAATTTCTGAATTAAATCTGTTGTTCAAAGACAGGTCTTGAAATTAGTCTTGGAATGTATCATTTTTTGAACATGTTATGTATTTTCGTGTAATTTTGCGTGAAATATATGAATTATTAAATAGTTACTTTCTTAGAAACAGCTCCATTTTTTTCTCTTTTAAATCCTCGCAATGGACGGTAAAAAAATGTGTTGCTGGTCCCATTTTTCTACGATCTCTGTATTTTCGAAAATTGCAAAAAATTAACATTACCAAAGTTCAATATTGGTGATGAAATTTTTTTTCACAATTTGTGATTAATTTACAAGAAGCCCCTTGGACATTTTCGATTTTTTTTTCAAAAAATAGCTCCAATTTTTACATTCCCGTATACGTACGAATAAACAGAGTAACAAACGTAGTAGAGGTAAAGTTAACATTATAGGGAAAATTAATGGAGTATTACTTCCGCGCAGTAGTTAATGGAAAATTTTCTCAAAAACCACTCCAATTTTTTTCTATAAATTTCTTGTAAGAAAAGAGGAAAATACATAAGGTGACGTAGGTCTGGTTTTCAACGTTATCTCTGACTTTTAAAAAATTGGAAAAAATTTGAATTTTTCCGCTTCTTCCTGCAACTACTAAATCAAAGATAGAGGTTTTTCCTTCATCTAAAATTTGTGGTCCGTAGTGTGTTTTTTCATTGAGGTTATGTACAGTTTTTTGAAAACGTTTAGTAGTTATCAAGCAATATTGCATGCAATATATGCATTTTTTTAAATTACAAAAACAATATTTTGTCAAAAACGGCTCAAATTTTTTCTTTAAACTTTTGGTAGTGATATTGCTAAATGCGCTCTATAAGATGACAAAAACCGCTCAATTTTTTTTTCCGCAAATGTGATAAGGGATGTTAAAAAATATGATGCTAATTATGTTTTCGGGTATTGCTCGTTTTTTTGAAAATTGCAAAAAAAAAATCAAAACCACAAGTCTGTTGCACAAAATTAGTATTTTTAAAAAGGTCATGTACAATTTTTATGTCAGTAGTATTTTTTATACTTCAGTAGTTTTTGCGGAATTTCTGTTTGAAATTATCAAAGCATTATGGACGTTCCGTCGTACAGCGTCGCGTGGCGATGGTATAACGGTAGCGTATCGCACTGTTATACCCAAGTTGGCGGATTCGAACCCGATCGAAGCCGTGGATTTTTAACTAAACTCGGGGGAAAGGGAAGGGCGAAAAAATCCTTCGTACGCCTTCCTTCGGAGGGAAAGTAAAGCCGGGTGTCCCATGTTAGTAAATTTACTTGCATGTAAAAGATCCTCAAGCCTAAATGACGCCTCTGAAAGCCTAAATTTAAATCGCTGTTTCTCGCCCAATAAATATCTCCTTCTCTGCTAGTTGGTGAAAGGGGCGTAGCGAAATTTGCGTGGTCAGACGGAAGAGCGGGCCTGATGGCCCGCAAGTCTCGCCCACGTAAAATGAAGGCATTCCACACATAACATTGTAATATTGCGAGAAAGTAGGTGCTGTTGTAGTACCACTAGTTTTAATTTGGTATGGCATTCTTGAGAATCAATTTCATATTCATCGTGGATCTTTAATTGCAAAGAAGCAACGAGATATATGAAATTCGATAGATGAAGCGAACTGTTCATTTGGTAAGCCACCTTTCTATTATCAATGACATCATTTTGTCCCTCAACGAAATTTCAAATTAACAACAAACTAGATAAATAGTAATTTATTTGTGAAAATCATGTCAATCAACAGCACTTTAATTTACATATACGTAGCATGTGAGCAGGTAAATACGGTTACATGAAGTATAGAGATAGTTATGATTTATCGCAAAATAATCGACGTCGAGGTTTTAATCACACATAGGCACTCAGATACACAAACTAATGTAGTAACAGCACATACTTTCTCGCAATATCATTGTTACGTACGACTGGACGCCCATAAACGAAGCTTCATTAATTTCAAACAGAATTACGCGAAAACTATTTTTTTCAAAAAATTGTGCATGACCTTTTTAAAGAGCTAAATTTATACAACATACTTTGTATGATCTCTATCTTCTCTCTATCTTCAATTTTGTAGTTTTATTATTATTTTGTTTTTGTTTTCGCAGAAAAACAAACGTACAATTTCCGAAAATGGGTCTAGCACTATATTTTTACCGTCCCATATTACATGTGTAGAGAAATTTTAAAGAATACATTTGGAGTGGTTTTTGAGAGAAAAAATTGTAAATTTCAAGGGCAAATTACGCAAAAAATCACTAATTTTTTCCAAAATCTTGTATTTTACCTTTTTTAAAGAGCTAATTTTGTACAACCTTTTTGTGGAATTGATATGTCATTTTACCTTGCAGAAAGTGAGGTAGATTTTATATTTTTATTTTGTTCATATTGTTATTAGTAAGAAAACCCTAAGATTTCCACCTCGAAATACCAACAAAAAAGTCAAAAAACAAAAAAAGTGAATTTTTGGGTTTTGCGTAATAACTTTTTAATGGTTGATCTTAATGCAAAAATAGTTATATACAATTTTCAAGGTCATAAAATTCTATACAAATTTGCTTGATCAATTATTTCTCACAATCAAATAGTAACAGAGCTACTATATGTTAAAACTTCACCAACTTTTCCTTTTTATTCTGAAGTTGCCCAAAATTACTAATGGCCTCTCTAATGTAGTATTGTTGAATCCCTAAGGCCATTATACATAAATCGATTAAATACTAATGATTTAATACATACTGAGTTTAACTCGCGTTTGCAAGTTCTGGTAAGAGTGGCTGTACGTACGTTCTGGCAACAAACACGATTTCCATACATCAAAAGCATTTCAATAGAATAAAATGACGTTAGTTTCTTCTTTTTATTCCTTGGTAAGACAATCTTGTTAAACCTTTATTTTTATTATTATTATTATTATTATTATTATTATTATTATTATTATTGCCATTAAGCCCAATTGGTACTACGCATAGTACTCGCATGTGTTTTTTAGCCTTTCTTTGTGCCATTTTTCTTTCATCTTTTGGTTGTGCGGCTTTTTTCTCTTTTCGGTTCAAGCTTTTCCCGTTCTACAATTGGGTACTTCCAATCAATCGACTATGACTGCACTTTAAGGCTAAATGTCCCGACACTAGTACAATGTGTGACCACCACGTGGACGCACCAAAATACGTAAAATTTACTTTACCGATAACGTCTGAAGCAATTGTCCGATTTTCGATCTGTAAACGGCATTTGACGCCTTTTTAAAATAGAATTTATGCTACGAAGTCCTTTTTCCAAAACTCTAAATTGAAATTAGTTCTCAAACTTCCGAAAAGAAATTAAAAAATGTGGGCTTATAGCGCGATGGCGACATGCTTCCTGAATCCAACTACGTGACAATCATGCAAATCGGACGATTTGGAGCGTCGTAAAGTGAAATTTGGCAAAACACCTCCCCCTCCCCCCTTCCGCGCCGTTACGTCATACACCCGCCCGTTGTGAGCCCTCTGTCGGCGTGCGGCCAGCCCCGGCGGAGGAGGCGGGACTTGCGGGACAGAGAAGACAGACAGTCGGTTTATGCTTTCGTCACTTTCCATCTCAATCTATTTTTCCACATATCAAAGTAGAGATGCTATACTACTATTACAGACCGAGGCAAACGGTCTGTAATAGAAGTACACAACTATCGTTTTCACATATTTCCGTCTTCCTTCGAATACCATCTTAAAATTGTTTGAGGCATTACTCAAAATATCGATTGCGATTTAGAACTGGTTTTTA